TGGAGATTTTGATTGGGTGTGCCGATTGTTAAAAACGTTGCTTTGGCGGCAGCTGCCACCACAGCACGAGGATCTTCACTGTGAGACCGAAGGTCAGTTGGAGCAGCCATTTTGTAGCCAGCTCCACCTCCTTCAGCCACTTTGGCTCCATCTCCTGTTGCAGCCACCAGCTGGGTGACCTTGGGCCAGTCCCGGTTCCCTCAGAGCTCTCTCAGCCCCACCTACCTCACAGGGCGTCTGTTGTGGGGAGAGGAAGGGGAAGGAGATTGTGAGCCCCTCTGAGACTCCCTTGGGTAGTGACGTGAGTTACGTGGTTCAGTTAATGCAATAATACTACATGGGAGGAAATACTAATCAGATCCAGGGATACCCATGAGCTTCAGGACTTCCTGGCTAGGAACTGGTGCTCCCACATCCATAAGAGGCACCTCAGTACCCTCTGGTGGCTTCTTTAGGGTTGCCAGGTTCCTCATGGCCACTGTTGGGGGACAGGGAATAGAGTTGCCAGATATGGCTTGGAAAACTCCTGGAGATTTGAGGGTGGAGGCTGGGGAGTACAGGGGCCTCAGTGGGATACAATGCCATAGAGTCTACTCTCCAAAGGAGCCATTTTGTCCAGGGGATCTGATCTCTGTAGTCTGGAGGAAGGGTTGCTGCTCCTCTGATGGAGGTGGGGGTTCCCCTGCTTTCGGGGGCCCCAACCCAACACCAGCAAGCTGACCGGCAGGGAACTCCGCCCCCAAAGAGCCCCCCGTCGCACCTGACGGGCCCAGTGCGATGATGTCACCTGGTGATGTCATTGCGCCAGTGATGTCATACAGGGGATGCTCTAGCATTTGGCTAAAAACTCTATGGTGACCATAAAGTTGTAGGGGACAATTCAAAGGTTCAAGTGATTTTCTATTGATTATTGTTGATTTCCAGGAAACCTTTGGGATAAATTCTTTGGGGCTCTCCTGGAGAATTAACAAACAGTTTGAATCACTAAGCACAATTGTGGAAACAAGTATTTAACTCAATTTAATTGACAAGGTTGGGTTTTTTTTCCTAACTAGGAGTGTTTGAGTTTTAATGAACAGGTGTTTTTGCATCAGCTCTTTTAATTGGGAGCAAACTGCAGGTGTTTCTTTCCCAGGCAATTTAGCCAATTTTCAATTAGGATGTACTTTCTAACTGTCATAAGTGAAGATTTATGAGAGCCTCTCTATTTCAAAGAGTGAGCTCAGGAGTTTGTTTCAGCTTCTGATTTTTTAGTGATTTTAAATAGGCTTAGAGTATTGTAACATATCAATATTGAAGTATTGTAATCTAGAAGAAAAGACTTTGTTTGTTTGTATTTTTAATTGGAATAATAGAAAGCACAATGATAATTGGTTGTCAAAGCTAAAGACTGGTGATTCTGTCCTTTATTCCACAGGAAATAATTGATCAAGATGTGTTTATACACTTAAAACTGACCTGGCAAGGATTCACAAGTTAAGTAAAAGGATGTCAAAATTAATAGGGTTAAATCAAGTTCAATTGTATTTTCCATGCTCTATCCTGGCGAAGGTGTTAAAGTGTCTTGTATATAGATATGGGGCCTGGCCATCCGGCAGGCCATCTGCACAGGTGACAGAAATCACACGGTAGTGTTACCAGCTAAGGCCATCTGGCTCAGGCAGGAAAGATTTTAGAAAATACTATTTCTATACTCACCTCTCCTATAGATTCTTTCTATCCCAGCTGCCCACAATCAAATAAAAAGAAGGACACAAGCTTTAAGTTAAAGATTAGTAGCATGTAAGCTATGGGCTCCCTAAAGGTCTCTTGTTTGCAAACCTGGTAGACTAAAGTGCAATCCTAACCAGAGTTGCAGTTAAGTGTGTGGTAAATAGGGCTCAAAACCGCTTTAACCCGGAGTATTTTGATACCAGGTCCTCAAGTGGTGTTTTCCTGATTCTCCGGTTCCAGCCGCGTTTTTATGACGACTGATTGCTCCTCCGGTGTCAAGCCATTTCCGGTTTAAACCCCCTCCCTGCTCAAAAGCTGCCCGAGACTTTCGCTTTTCACCCACCATTTTTTTAAAAGTGTTGGCAGTGGGCACATAGGCGGAGGTCCGCCACCGCGTTAATAAAAACAATGTTTAAATGGTGCCTAGTTTTAGCCTTTAGACGAGTTCAGGATCTCACGGAGGCCATTTTCGGGGGTAAACGTTTAAAGGGAAGTGTTCCTTTAAAGTTTAAAGGGAAGCGTTACAGCAGTCAGGTTGAAGTGGCAATCGCTGTTTTGCGCACGCGCTAAAATTTTAGCTCTACAGATGGCTGCCTGTGCGCATACCCAAACTGAGAGAGAGAGAGAGAAAAAAACAACAGCGACGCACACTCCCGTGTGTGAACGGGCGGGGAGCAATGTGGCTGTGCGGCGGTCGCAGAGCGTTCCCTGCGCATGCGCAGGGGACGCTCTGTGAGTTTCGGGGGGATTTAAACATCCCTCCCGAAGTTTTTTTCTACTTTTCGCATTTTTGTGCACACGTGGGGACTGGCCCACGTGTGCACAAACCTCCCCCTCCCCCCCAAGTGCCCCCGGAGCGCTGATTTAGCGATCCGCACTCCGGGGGCCACTTGGCTATTAGATATCTAGATATCTGCTTATATTGTATATTTGTACACGGTGATTCACTGTTTTGCTGGTTACATTACACCGTGGTCTTGTTTGTTGTAATACCCCCCTGATGTAGGCAGGGGTTCCCCTGCTTTCAGGGGCCCCAATCCGAGGCCAGTTGGCTGACCTGCAGGGGAACCCCGCTGCCAAAGAGCCCTGTTACACCTGACATGACTGGTGTGAAGATGTCACCTGGAGGTGACGTCGTCATGCTAGGCGCATCATGCAGTGGGCGTTCTAGCATTTGGCTAAAAATTCTATGGTCACCATAGAGTTTTTGGCCAAACGCTAGAGTGTCCCCTGCAATGCTCCCTCTAAGCTGTGGAGTCTTGTGAGCAAAACTTCTACTTTGTGAGCGAGCGATTAACGTTGTGAGCGAGCGATTTGGCTACACTGCATAAATTAGCTTGCTCTGGAGCCCTCCTTCCTGAGCTGAGACAAAATTGTGTGAGCTGGAGGCTACAAAACTGTGAGTTAGCTCATACGCAGCTTAGAGGGAACACTGGTCCCTTGCATGATATGCCCAGCATGATGGTATCACTTCTAGGTCACGTCTAGGGCTGCCAGGTCCCCCCCCCGGGGGGGGGCAGGGGTTTGCATGCTCAAAGGGCCGCCAACCCACCGGCCTGCATCCAACCAGTGGGGGAATACCACCCCCAAGTGTCTGGATCGGGTCGATGTGCCCGGCACAATGACGTCACCCAGAGGTGACATCATCACGCTGGGCATGTCACCGGGGGACGCTCTAGCATTCGCCCTGAAAACTCTATGGTATCATAGAGTTTTCAGGGCGAATGCTAGTGTCCCCAGAGATGTGCTAACCGTGATTGACATCACTTCCGGGTGACGTCATTGTGGCACGTGCTACACACACGAAAAGTCCCGGAGCAGGAGCTTCTCCCTCGCTAAAAGCAGGTAAGGGATCTGGCAATCCTAGTGACGTCACTATGGCAGTTGTGCTTCACGCGCATGCCAGAAGATCCTGGAGACCAGCCCGGAGCCCCTTGCCAGCAGCTAGTGAGGATCTGGCAACCCTATGAAGGTGGGCTGTAATTCCAGGGATCCCCAAGCCCCACTTGGAGGCTGGCATCCCTAGCCGCTGTCTAACAGGGCTAGGTGCTCTGAAAGTCAAAATTTCAGTTTGCAGTGAAGCTGACTTTGGTATTACAAAGAAAGGGTCTAGCAAGCTGACGTTAGGCCTGCAAGCCTCTGGTTGGGGCCTGGAGATTTCCTAGAATCACACCTGATCTCCAGACTCCTTCCCTGGAGAAAATGACTACTTTGGAAGGTGGACTCTGTGGCGTTATGCCCTGTTGAGGTCTCTCTTTTCCCCAGGCCCTTCCTTCCCCAAGCTTCACTCTCGAAATCTACAGGAATTTCCCGACCTGGATTTAGCAACCTTAGCTGATAGCAGCAGAAGAAGAGAAGAAGAGATTCCGGTCTGCAGCTCAGTATCTTAACCTCTGAGCCACCGTGGCCATGAAAGCTCCTCCCCTGCCACAAATGTTGTTAGTCCCTAAAGTGCTCCTGTGTAGGGACAACGTACACTCCTGAGAGGCAGGCCCCAGAGGTTTAATGTTGTTCCTGCATGGAGGTTGGGAACCCAGGTATCAGGCTAATTGCACAAGGCGGAAACATCTGCTGATGTGCTGAGTTCATGGTGAGAAGCTACCTTGGCAAAGGGACAGAAGAGATAAGGAGCTGAGCTTTCGGCATCAACACATTCCATACTATGATTGTATGCCTGTAACTTTCCCTTACGCAGGGAGAGAGGAGGAGGAAAGGGGGGGGGGAAGAGATTTTCAATAAATACAGCTGAGCAGTGAGAACACTTCGGTCAGTCAGTGCAGCTTTCTACAGACTTGTGTCCTGTCTTCTTTGAACCCTCCTCGACCTTCACTCCTGGACTCCTGCTCTTTTCTACTGCTACAGACAGACTAACACTGCAACCCATCTTGATTTACACACATCAGTCAGGAATGACAGGCCCGGAACAGGATGCTTATTTGTACCACAAAAAGAAGCTTTCTTCCTCCCTCAGCCGACCCCCAGGCCCTAACTAGAAAGCCAAATGAAAGCCTGGCCAAGCCGACACTCCTGACTGGAGCCACCAAAGTCCCTGTCTGAGGAGAGAAGTTTTCGTCTCCCACTTTTTATACCGAGGCTGGCTCAGTCCCTCTCCGCCAGTAGAGTTCTGTGGGCTCTGATTGGCTGACAATCACTTGGATTTGCACCAGGCCTAAATCATAAGGATTGGTTCAGAGCCCCAGAGGGGAGGCGGGACTTTTCAGGAGGATGGCCACACTGGCTCATTGCTGCCTTTCTTTCTCCAAGGGAGGCCCCAACTTCATACGTACCACAACTTTCAGCTTCTTCTTGACACCGTCCCATGCACTCAGGCCCTGGACAGCTGCTTTGACCTCAATGTCGTGGAGTCCTAGCTGGAGAGGGACGATCACAAATGGCACCACCTTGGAGGACTGGCCTTTAATGTTGAAAGTCTGCCTGTATCTTTGCTTGGCGGTGGAAGCGCTGCAGAAAGCCGGGTTGTGGACCAAGTCTACCCGCACCTGCCGAGAAAGAGGGGGAAAGGGTTAGCCAACCTCTTGAAAATATGGGAGAAGGAAGCTGTGGAGAGCCTTCACTCTCCCCTTCAACCAAATTACATCTTAGGTTTCCCGGGGTCGTGGCAGGATCTTTCCATGATAATGAGAACCCACTTGGTGCTACAAATGTATTTGTTCGCAAACTGAAAGTTCCGTCAAAGAATAGGTCAGCCACTCCGTCTTGCTTCTGCTATTGTGCCCAGCTATCCCAACCCCCTTCATGTTACTGACAACATTTCCCTTCAAAAGTCCTCCTTCAGGGGTTGGAGAGGAAGTTAGCTGGTGATATTACAGATACTGGCCAATACGCACCTATCACAGCTGTTAACATAATCAGCTTCAGGGGAGTGAAGGTGAAACTACAGCTTCAGAAGGGCACATCCCTAAAATTTACCAGCCCAAACAAAATCTTTACCAGCCCACGTCTCCACAAAGCCTCCTCATTTGTAGGCAGGACTGTGTGCCAAGGAACCCCTTGAGAAAGATCTGCCAAATGCCACCAGTTGTCTCTCTCTTTTGAATGTGGCTTAAAGACAGCACTTCTTCCATCCAGTTTGGTGTAGTGGTTAAGAGCGCAGACTCTAATCTGGGAGAACTAGGTTTGATTACCCACTCCTCCTCCACATGCAGCTGCTGGCGTGACCTTGGGTCAGTCACAAGTTCTCTCAGAGCTGTTCTCTCAGGAGCAGTCCTTGAAAGAGCTCTCTCAGTCTCACCAACCTCACAGGGTGTCTGTTGTGGGGAGGGGGAGGGAAAGGCAACTGTAAGCTGCTCTGAGACTCAGAGTGAAGGGTGGGATATAAATCCAATCTCTCCTCCTCCTCCTCCTCCTACCAGGATCCCCCAGGTTTTTTTGTCTGTTTTTTGTTTGTTTTGCCTCAGAGTATTCAAGGCTCTGATAGTCCCTTCAGTCAATGGTCCTCTCCGCACTTGGATCTCATCCCTGGTTTTTTCAGAGTGACACAATATCTTGCATTTATCCCTGGTTATAACAGCATCCATTTATCCCGGGACAAGTGTGGGGTGAAACCGGGGTGACTTCGGTGTAATGTGGAAACAAAAAATACCTTGAGATAATTACAGGAGTGAACTCGAGTGTAGTGTAGAATGTAAAAATACCCCAAGATAATTACAGGGGTGAACTCAAGTGTAGTGTAGAATGTAAAAATACCCCAAGATAATTACAGGGGTGAACTCAAGTGTAGTGTAGAATGTAAAAATATCCCGAGATAATTATGGGGGTGAACTCAAGTGTAGTGTACATAAGAAAATAAGAGATGCCAATGTTGGATAAGGCCAAAGGCCCATCCAGTCCAACACTCTGTATCACACAGTGGCCAGAAATACCAGTGCCATCAGGAGGTCCACCAGTGGGGCCAGGACATTAGAAGCCCCCCCACTGTTGACCCCCCCCAGCACCAAG